GGACATTAAAAATTATGAGATCATAATAAAGTCACCCCCATAAGCAAGTCAAATACATTATACATTCAATATAATTTGTGTAAAAATATATCATGTAAGCCATGTAAATATTGCCATGACAAACAGCATTATCTAATGTGACACACTTGAATGCAGAAGCCCAAACAGAAGTGTGGTAATTTAAGTATGACAACAGAAACGCTGACTTAAACTGACAACATTGTCTTTAAGTAATGATTTAGCCATCTTGTTATGCAATACACATTAGGTATATTCTCTCTAGATAAGAAAAACAAACAAACAAACAAACAGACAAAACAAAAAAAACTTACTCTTTCAATCAAAGAAAAAGTTAGTTGACATGTTATATTTAAAACTGGGTCTTTTAAAAAGTTATCATCTGTGTCAATTTTTACTTTGTCCCAAATGATCTTTTAATAACATGGTAACAAAGACTCTTAAACCTTTTCACATGTTTAAACTAATTGAAAACTTGTGCACAGATTATATATAAAGAAATTAGGTTGCAATTAAGCATAGTTATTAATGATTCTTAAATCTAATTGTTGTGACTATTATAGACCACAGACAAGGTCAACTCTACAACTCAGGAAACTTCAGCTTTAAAGAAAAAAATACACCTGAATTATATGCATAAAACCCACTTTTGTAATGATATAGCTCTAATCACACTAAGCATGTTCATCCATTTAAAAGCAGCTGTTTCCAAACCCGTAAATTAAAAACATATCCCCTGGTAAAACATTAAATTTAATTTAGTAAATACAGTAAAAACACGTTAAGCAAAATTACAAATATTCTTACAGTATTTTTTTAAAAAAAAAAAAAAACAACACTCTGCAAAACATTGTGCTTATAAGCAAATCCATAACGTAAAAGCCATTTTAGCAATTACTTCAGAGTCCTTACACTAACTGCATAAATGTCAAATACATGTTTTAACTCCTGCTTATTAGCAGCAAGGTTTGGATCGTGATATTTCAGATTTTTACTCAAGATCACTTCCTTCTCACCTGTATGCATTAGAAGGAAAATGACTGGTGTCATCTAAAAGGGAAACTCATAAAGGAAGACAACACATCTCTTTCCTAATCTGGCTACAGAAATGGCTGGAGAACAGAAATAAAAAAATATTATCCTCTCTGAAACAAAACACACTGAGCCAGTGAATTGCAAGAATATCTTTGCAGCAGCGCAAGGACACAAGGCCATGAGGTGCTTGGTTCTTATCACCAGATCTGAGACAGTCAGTCACAGACAACCATAAGGCTGCCCATACAAAATACACTCCCACTCCTCTCTTGCCTACGTAGAGACTCCCCTCCAAGACAACTGCTCCGCCAGCTCGCTGCCTGTACAAGGTCTGATGTCTCACAGGGTACATCTGCATTAGTACTTTAGTTCAGATAAGGAGAGCACTTCTGCAACAAATCTTCCTATCAACCTAGTCCACACACTTTAGTTTGCTGCACGAAGCAGTCCTGCAGCACACAAGCCTGGCTCCTTTCAGACAAAACTAAACACCGTAAGATGTATGCCAGGAGCACTACCACTGCCAAAGGGGCACAGGAGCAGCCAGGAGTCAGTTCAAAGTAACATTCACCTCACTTTGCAAACGCACTGTGTATAAAGAGGTGTCAGGTCCTCATCACCAACTACCTCATTCTCTGAATCTGCCCTCACTTGACTGCATTACTTGCTCAGGCAGGCACAGCCACTCTGCTTCAGGGTCTCCCTTCATCTGTGAGATGGGACCTGACTGCACCTGAGCTTCTCTGAACTTCTCAGGTTTTGCTTCCTCTCTGGTTTTATGTCTTCTATTATTCAAAATTCTCACCACCAGCCTGTCATCTCTGACCATTTGACCATTCACATATAACACCTACCCTTCCTTGGTATCATCTACTCTCACCACACTGAAAATTCCTCTCCTAAAAACCACTCAAAGGCTAAATATGATCATCCTTAACTAAACTGACTTAATTCTGGCATTTCTTAAATTTGACTGATGGCTGATTTTAAAATAGTAATACTTTAATGGGTTCATCATTTAAGCACACACAGCAAAACAGAGCATTGAAGCCAATTGCACAGCATCACATCGACTCTTCGGTGCTCAACAGCAGGGTTAAAAGCTTACAGACGTATAGTCCTCAGCCCTCTATTACTGACACGGATACAGTATTAAGGAGAATAAAGCAAACATTTTCTCAGTGCATTTCACAGCCATTAAGAATTGTAACACTGTGCTGTAACAGACCCTGTCTTCCCCAGCCTCTATCAGAGTCTCAACTCAGAGAGAGATCCCCAGTTCAACTTTTAGTCCTCCCCTCTCATTTCTACATTGAGTCTACTTAACCCATCTTAATATCTCATTAGCCGACTCCTCTAAACCATTCTTCATCCCAGTACTTTGAAGTCATCTTCATACTCCTTGACCGGGCTGTGAACCGCAGAGAGAAACCGTGTTCTTTTCCTTGTATCACAAACCTTCCTGACTGCTGAAGGGAACAATTTTTAAAGGTCCTAGGCTATATCCACATGATCAAGTAATTTGGCATAATAGAAGTAAATCAGTCAACTGAAGCAGCTGGTGCCCAGGCCACTATGCTTCCAGCATGCAGGGTTTACAACTTCTATTTCAAATTAAATCTAGTCTGGAGCCTCAGGTTGAACGTCGCGCCCCACACGTGGTTCAGGGCTGTCCACAGGACTGATCACTGGGGCTGGAGTTCACTCGGTGTCCGCCTCAAGAAAAGATCCCATGCTCAGCTTCCTCCAGGAGGAACTTGGTTTGTAGCTACAAAAACCACCCTGTCAATTGAGCCAATGAGTGTCAAGTGGGGATGATCAGAGAATTCCCTTTAAAACTGTGATAGCATGATAGCTTGCAGAAGCAGGGCAGCTCTACCCAATCCCACAATGCTTTTTGGTACAGAGGGAGAATATTTAGCAGCCAAAATAAGTGTCTTCTGAGCATATTCCAACTTTCAGAATTCAGATGAAGGTTGGATACTTTTTCTTAGCAACAATAAAAAAAAACCACACTTAACAACTTCAATTCTCTTGCTCCGGAGCAAGGTCAGGATAGATATTGTAATTACATGAAATGTAAGCATTTAATTCAATGTTTATACAAATTCTTGACATTGGAAAACACCACTGCACTTTTCCTTTTGTTTTCAGAAACAAACAAAATAAACACTTTAATCCACCAACAACCAGAATAAGTCAGCCACTGAAAACTAAGGACAATATTAGATCTAATAAAAAACAAAATCCCACTTAAACCTACACAGTTATCTATAGCAAGAAGGAAAAAAAACACCATATATTCACTCAAAGTTAATCAAAGTAATGAAAAATGCATGTCATGAAATGTCTCTACTTAGAAAAGTAAATAATTACTAACAAAACTGACATCAAAATGTCAACTTGGTAGGCTTTTCTTCAATTAATAGATAGTAAAGCAGCATGAGAAGGAGAACCTTTATTTTACATTTCAGAATTTAAAACAGTAACACACTGAGTTTCCTTGTACATTGTCCTTTTCTGGGCCCCAGTGATTAATATGTGCATATCCAGTGTTCACAGAGTTGATATCAGTATGCAATAAGAATGAGGAATATTACCTGAAGAAACTGATATCTTGTAGAAAAAATTATTTGGATCATCCTAATCATTTGTTAATACATTTGACAGAAAATTATATGAAACAATCAAAAAAAGAAATCAGATATCCAAACTGAGTAAACAACAACAACACACAACAACGAGATGAGAAGGAAAAATAATTTAAAATTTTAAATAGTTCCTGTCATGTAAAATTTTATTTGTTATAAATATAAGTATATATTCCAAAATAGGAAGCAGACCTTAAGCTTCACAATTTAGCCCATTCCTATCTACAATACCCATAATGCATCCTGAAATACAATTTATGCAGGAATAATAAGAGAATAATAAACTTTTTCTCTCATTCTCTTGGCTTCTTTGACATTTAATGTCAATCTGCAATAACAAAGCTAATAATGATCTTCGTCTTCACACACTGCTATTGAAACAAAGCATTTCTTTGTAAATTAAAGGGTAATTTTGTTCCCACTATTCCAGTCTGAATCTTTCTGGGCTAGAATCACAGAAGCTCATGGCATAAATCACCCTATAATCTAGATCACCTTCTCTCTGCAAGAGAGATTATGTTCTCTGGGAAATAATCGTGTATGCAACCACAACCCAAAGCAGAGCAGCGCAAAGCATGGAAGATTTCCTATGAAGTGCATTACATGATAAAATGCCAGATATTTCTAGAGGTTTCCCATTCAAAGCTTAACATACAGCAACCTTCCCAAATTTGTAAATCACATGGTGACACATTATAAAGTGACATCTCAAGAATTTACAAGAATTCAAATGTAACAGAAAATCATACTTTAGGCTGGCTTATAATTAGGAATATGTTCTTTAATCATATGGCTTCCAGGTCTGCAAAGTAATTAGGTGTATGCTGAGCTTTATGCAAGTATTATGTTGATTTTACGGGGACTGCCTGCATCTGTAATACAAACTAAGCCACGGTGAATGATTTTGGCATCTAGGAGGCTTCACACAAAGTATTGCATCTGCAACAGCTTCCAGGCAACCTTCTACTGTGCACCTCTATTACTACCTCTTCCAGCTGCCACAACAGTCTACTTAGTCTGATACATGGGTGACAGCAGCTGCAATAGCAGGGTTAAGTGGGAATTTCTGAGTCCAACTTCCTCTTCACTGTCAGTTACCCCTATAACCAGGGGCAGTGATGAGGGTTAAGTATTAACAAGACCAAGGCCTTAATGGCCATTAATTCCATATGGTCAGGTTAGCTCACTGAAGACCAGAAGATAAATCAAGAATGCTCATATGTGTAACCATGCAATGACACTGCACACGGCATACGACAGATATGTCAGAACTTTCCATTAAAAGGTAGAACTTACCCCTCTTCTGAACCCAGCCTTCCTTCACAATGGTAACATCGCTCATGATGGCTCCACTCTGAACCCCCAACTCAAAAGAGTATTTCTTTGAGTTATCAGCTTGTCTGTTTGGCTTCTCTTCTGCAGCTCTTCCCAATTTCTACTGATGAGTCAGCCTGTAAGGAAATATTAGAGAAAGAATTTAAGTCTTCTCTGTTTTTCTCACTTGACAGCCAACAAAAAAGTCTTTGTTGATGTCTTCCACTGACTGAGATCATATTAAAAATCTGCCTTTTTTAATTAACCGCATAACAGAATCATGTTTCTAGTCTTACAGCACATTCTCCATGAAGACTGTAATACTTAAAAGAAGCAGAATGTGTTAAATCTTAAGTCATATGGCACTTTTATAAAAGGCATACAATAGAATTCTCTCACACTAATGCACAGGATGCTGTTAAATGAAAGGGTGCCAGTACCACTTCACAGGTCCAGCTCTGAACCCACAGCTTTAACCATTCCCACATTTGTCAGAATCCATGCAATGGGCAAGTGGTTCCTCTATTATGGCTACATCAATCACATCAAGAGTGCAAGAAAATGGAAGGAAAGGTTCTGTAAAGGAGCTTAAAACCAAAGCCTTAGGTATTATGGATATGGTTATCTTCCTAACTGCCAAAATCTGTAGTAACCAGTTTACCAGCCATGCAATTAGGTCTTTTTAACGCTTGAATTAAAAAAAAAAAAAAAAAAAAAGCTACAGAAATAAAACATTCTTCCTACTTCCACTATAACTTCATTATATCCAACAGAAATCCTTAACTTACAGAAGTTTTATTAAATACAGCATCATCTGCAGGTACACAAACAGAAAAACAATTTCTTAGGAGTATAAATGAACCAAAACTGCTGATGTTTAGTTTATGAAAAGAAAGCACATTCTCTCAGGGCTTTAAGCCAGGCAGCGACAAGACTGCTCTTTTCCCTGCAAAGCTCAGCTTGCAGGGGACAGAAGGGAAGTTAGCCCTGGAACAGGACATGCCATGCTCAGCAGCCACAACCCTCTTTTCTGATCACCTCACTCCCCGAGTACCTAACAGCTGTGAAGAAGAGATAAATAGCACTACAGTCAAGTAGGAAGAAAAGCCAGAGGGCAGGAGAGGTTTCCTTTTGCCATCAGACTGTCTTTCCCCTCCATCCTTCAAAATAAAGAGAAGCATTCAAATAATGCTCATCTAGAAAAGGGGGTGGGAAGCCAAGAAAAGGGATTTCTCTGATGGTGGAGGAACACCCTTCTACAACCGCACACACAGGGAGCACGCACATACACTGCGCCAGCACGGAACGGGAACATGCACACCAGTTTAGTACTAGCAAATGCAGCACATACCTATCCATTTAGTAGACTGACCAACAAATGTAAACATGTGACAGAAACAGATATGACTGCTAGAAGCAATCTGTGCAACACGTGAACGGACAGAGGACTGGGAAATAAACTGTTTTAATCCAATCAAGTACAGGCTAAAAACTGGACCATTATACACATGCAGGTTATTTCTTATTTATCATTTGAAAAATGTGTATTTGCACGACATAGCAGCTAGATGGAAGGCTACTTCTGTATGGATGCTGTGCTGTGCAAAATAAAACTTGGTATGAGCATTTTTTTCAAGCAGTATGCAACAAAAAATGCAACACAAACTGATTTTATAGAAACACTGAAGTGTGTCCATTTTACAGTTTTGCTTTCACTGCACTATTTTCTCAAAAGCATGCAGTATTTCATCTGCATAAAAGTAAAAAACACAATGCTAAATTCATTAATACTGTAAAATTTAAGTAATATTGAATACAGTGCCTCTGAGACATCTCCACGGCACTGGCAGATAGGACAGTGGTGCCCAGCCTTTTGCACTGGCATCATACCCTGCTGTGTCTAAAAGGACACCGGACACCTGTGTTTATGCAACTGCACCCTGCCTTCAGACTTAAGTACTGTTTAAGCTTTAAAAAGAATTTTAGAAAAATGTTATATACAAGGTTTTAGAAGAACATGAGACTGCTTCATTACTGTTAACTGATCTCACTAGCTTCGGCTGTTTGGACTTCATATTATGTAAGTCAGTATGGCAGAAATAACCGGAACATGCATTTCCATATCTTTCACCTTACTACTGTGAGAGTTATTTTCTGGGTCATATATTATCAAAACTTTTGTTTGCATGCTTCAAAGTAGAGACAAGCAAATCTATCAGCTGTGCATGGAAGGAGATCCTGACAGATTAAGACACAAGCCTGAAAGCAGGATGCAGTTTTGCTGTTCTGGATCACCACAGCATAGTATCAGCTCTTATTACAAACACACAAATCCCTACAAAGCCAGAGGTGAGTGTTGAACAACTGTGACTTAAAAGCAGTTGTTCTGTGAAGGAAGCGTAAGCACATTAGTATCCAAATATCCAACTTAAGTTCGATGTCCCTACAAGACTTTCACTGCATTTTTTAAGAAGTAATCACAGGTGACTTTAACTATAAAGACAAAAGAAGAAATGTAACACACAGCACTTAGCTTGGGCTGGCATATGCTGCAATATGTTTTATGCTTTTGGCAAATTTAATGTACTTCCCAATTTTGGTGTGTGCTTATGAAAAATGCAGTAATTTGTTTTATTGGTAGAGACAAAACTATAAGAAATTAACTTCTGTACTAAATAGCAATAATCTTGTCCACCCACATACTGAACAAATATGAGATCACAGAACCATAGAATGGTTTGAGTTGGAAGGGACCTAAAAGATCATCTAGCTTCAACCCCCTGCCAGGGGCAGCGCCCCCTTCCCCCAGCCCAGGGTGCTCCCAGCCCCGTCCAGCCTGGCCTTGAACCCTTCCAGGGAGGGGGCAGCCACAGCTGCTCTGGGCACCCTGGGCCAGGGTCTCACCACCCTCACAGTAAAGAATTTCTTCCTCATATCTAATCTAAATCTACCCTCTTTCAGTTTAAAACCATTACCCCTCACCCTATCACTACACCCCCTGACAGAGAGTCCCTCCCCTCCTTTCCTGTGGGCCCCCTTTAAGCACTGGCAGGCCGCTATAAGGTCTCCCCAGAGCCTTCTCCTTCTCTGGGCTGAACAACCCCAACTCTCTCAGCCTGCCCTCATCAGGGAGGTGCTCCAGCCCCCTCATCTTTGTGGCCTCCTCTGGATCAGCTTGAGCAGGTCCATGTCCTTCTGCTGTTGTGGGCCCCAGAGCTGTTCCCAGGACTCCAGGTGGGGTCTCATGAGAACACAGTAGAGGAGAAGAATCCCCTCCCTCGACCTACTGACCACACTGCTCTTGATGCAGCCCAGGACACGGTTGGCTTTCTGAGCTGAGTGCACGTTGCTGGCTCATAGTCAGTTTTGCATCCACTAATATCCCCAAGTCCTTCTCTGCAGGGCTGCTCTCAATCCACTCATTGCCCAGCCTGTATTTGTGTTGATTCCACAATTTAGAATGTCCATGATTTCAGCAGACACCCAGTTTTAATGAATCCATTTATACTTAAAGCTCCCTATTTATCCACTGATTACAATTAAGTTAGTATTACTCAATCAAAACCTGATCTATGACCAATTTTCATGTCAGTCAGTGTCCCAACAACCTCAAATGTATGTCTGTAGGATTGCATTCCACCCATCACATATACTACTTAACTGAATTTTGAACAAAACTCCCAAAATACAAAAACTGGGTAAATATGGTGACAAAACTAACTGAATTATCTCAAATTTAGCTTAACAGCATTACCAGGAATAATTTAAGTAAAATTATCAACAGTTGTATCGTTATATTGATCACTCCTTTAGTGGGTAATTAAAAGTCAAGCTGAATTATATAGGAAGCTGAAGGAGATAAATCGAAGCATTAACCGACTAATGAAAATAAAGGTTATACATTCACACTACGCTTTCAAGAAGCCATTTGTAAGCATCTGTAGTATTTTCTCTTATTAAATTATTTCAAGGCTTTCTAAAAAGCTGTATTCCTTTACTCTGCAAGTCACACAGCAAAGCTCTGAGAGATCAGACTTTTGAGGATTACTTCTTGTCATGCCAAAAACTGACCTTAGAAAATAGTCGTACAGAAACTTTTTTCCCCTCCATGTCATCAAACAGAACTTAGAAGATACTTTTCCAACAGTATATTGCGTGCATTCTGCAGACGCTAGCAAAGAGTCATGTGTATGCATTATACATACAAGAATCTATTGTCTGCATGCTTTATGGTGCAAGTATAAAAATTTACTCCATCGCAGTCATGTGAAGAAAAAACCTGTATTTTTTTGGATCTCGTAAAAAATAGTAAAACTTTTCCTCTCTTCTTTGAGAAGCTATTAGGCCACTTCTATAGTGCTAGATGAAACAATTCAGCACGTTTCTAAAGAGCTAGTACTACACTTCTACGTTCCTAGCTGTGAAGGTTGCAAAGACATCTTTCTGAACAAAGATTAAGCAGAAATTATTACATGCAGCAGAGTTCCAGATCCCTCTGCTGAGGCTCACAGTTCTCCCAAGCTGTGGTGAAAACTAGCCAACACCTTTGCAGTTTCCATCTTGAACTTTAAGAATAACAGCAATATAGAAAAGAACAAGCTCGTTTCACGATGCTATCATGTGGGAACTGTAAGACCAACCATTAAAAAGAGAAATGGAGCATTCAGTAGGAAGACACCTTTTCCTCAACTTGCATTTTATAAATTAAAGGAGGCTCTCATGCCCATCACAGCAGTCAGGCACCTCTACAGACCTGGTGAATGGGGAGAAGGAAAGAAATCCCCTCCAAGCAGAAGGATTAAAAACAGTGGTTCAGGTCTACACTTAACAACCACTGTGTAAGTGAACAATCATCGAGATTCGTAAGAACAGACAACACTCCCTTGGAATCTGGGCATCCTCCCATTTCCCCCGTGACAAGAGACAGCTGAGTAAAGAAAACAGTGCCCATAAATTCAATGTAAATTGTATGATTCAGGTCTCTGTTGTAAGAACTTTCATAAACACAGGCTCCTACTTTCAACAATTTTGGAGCTGAGAAAAAACAGATACTCTCACATTTACCAACTCATGTTACCAGAGAGAATACGAACAGGATCAGTTTCAATGCTTCCAGAGGTGATCCCTATAACTTCTT